GGTTTGGGTTTTCCTGTTTCAGAAATATTTGTAGTCTCATTTTCTATGGAAAATGGCAGAGACAGGGTCCAAGTCTTAACTGTTTTAAGTACAACTGTACAACTTTACAGTGATACTCACTTGAAGTTCTGGGTTTTCTTTTTAAATGTGTGTGAAGCTTGTGAAGATTCTGAGCCATCAAATGGGGGCAGATACAGCCAGAAAAATTTTCCAATACAAACGACATTTAAGAGTTGAATTAAATTTTGTTTTAGTTTATATTATCACCTGTGGTTTTAAAAATGCATCGTCTAGGGATAGGAGTATAGCTCAGAGCCAGAGTGCTTTCTGGGAGGCCCTGAGTTCGATGCCTAGTACCAAAACATATGTTCATAAAAAATAAAATAAAAAACGATGTTACCTATCGGCACTCTTTTTACTATTAGTATGTGGAAGACAGGGAGCGTATTCATTTTTAGTAGAAGCTCACAACAGTTCCATGTAAATTTCCATCTCCTCTTCTCTCCCAGGTACTTCTAGGCCTTCTAAAACTTCTCTATGTTATCAAATGTTTTTTCTCTCTTAAGAGAAAAACAGACCAGTTGAATCATTAGATTTATGAGAGCAACACCTCTAAAACCCAGCAGCATTCCGAGTGAAGTTTCAGAATGCCCTCTTTTAAATGTGCTTTGCTATTTCTATAACCAGGAGAGCAGGAATAAAATAGAGGATACCTGATTCACCTTAATACTGCTACAGCCGAAGTTGAATTTCAGGGCTTGGAGTGCCACTCAGGCCCGCAGCGTGTGCTTAGCATGTGGGGGCGCCAGGCTTGACCTCAGTACATGGTCTCCATGGAGGCCACTTCCCTGGCTCTACCTCTGTGCAGCTCTAGTCAGAACCAGCTTCCACTGCCTTGGGGATAGGTCTGCCCATGTTCTGTGACTTTCCTTGGCTTCCTATTGTGGTTTAGTTGTAGTTCACTGGGCCTCATGCCAGAACAGTTTTATAAGAAACTGTCCTTGGTAGGCGTGGTGGCACCTGTGTGACGTCCCAGCATTTGAGAGGCTGAGGCATGAGGAGGGAAGTGAGTTTTGAGGCCAGCCTGAACTACATGTTCAGTTCAAGGCCTGAACTGCATAGTGAAACCTTGTCTCAAAAAGAAAAACAAACAAAAATGTTTGTTTTTGATGAAGAACAATCAAATGACATTTGATTTGCTTTGTTTTTATTGTGTTGAGCAGTATAGTTGTATACAAGAATCATTTTTCCTCTATATAGAAGGTATGACTCTTATAATTTCAGCAGAATTCAGTGTTGCATCTTCAGGCATTGTTATCACAGAGCAGCTTTCAGGGATGTGCTAGTGATCATGCAGATGCTGTTAGGTGTCAGTGCTCCAGGTGAGCTGTTGTTGGGAGTCGTTCTTCACGATGCTTTTACATGTTTGTATAAGATGAAGATGCAGAGCCCTTGTTTTAAGTATGTTTGGCAGCATAGCCCTAGTGTTTGCCTCTGTGACAAGGAGCAGGGATGTTTGCTGTTGGGTTAAAAGCTGCGAGTTCCCTGACGCAGAGTGCTTCTCTGCGTGCCCGTGGCCCCGGCCCTCCTTGCGCTGCTTGTGAGAAGTTGTGCTCGAGAGAGCGCTGCATGGAGGGACAGCGCAGTGCTCTGGCCATTCTAGGAGTGGCGCGTCTTCTTCAGCTGGCATCCAGGAGGCTGATATCAGGACACTTCACAGCTCTTATTATTATTATTATTATTATTATTATATTATTGGCGGAACTGGGGATTGAACTCAGACCCTTGTGCTTGCCAGGCAAGCACTTATTCTACTGAGCCATCTCCCCGGCCCCAGTTCTTACTATTATTAAGGTGTCTTTTAAATGATGCATTGTGGTTTGTATATAAGATGCTCCACAGTTCTTGACATTTACTGTTTCTCTGAATTTTTTTTCCTTCCCTGTATAGGACAGGGTCCACAGGGTCTCACTACACAGACTGGACTCGTAGTGATCCTCCTGTTTTCAGCTTCCCAGCGTCTGGAATTACAGGCACGTGCTACCATGCCCAGTCTCAATCACCTTCTCAGCTCTCCCCAGGGGTGGGGGAAAATTTTGTTAACTCCTAACCAACCCACAGTGTTTCTTCTGCCATTCACTTAGTTGTAAATTCAGTAGTTTATTGTTCTCTTGATTGATTTTCCTCCCAAAGACCTTTTACAATGAAAATACTTTGTGTCCTGCAAACACAATAAATATCAGGCGTTATGCAAGTTTCTCAATTATAGACAATTTTAAAATTTAATTGAGTATGTTTAGGTTCAGTTGTTTTGCAAGACACATGGAACATGCCTGGGCAGATGTGCACTAAAATGTCTTGTGTGTGTGCCTGATTACCCTTACCTATTTGTCAAGGTGTGTTGTAGGTGTCAGGAACTTGCTCTTTATTTAGGCTTTGATAGTGTCTGTACATTGCTGCTTGGCAGTTCCTGACTGGTGAGCACCATGATATGCCTGCAGTATGCATTACCTTGTGGCGGCTTCTTTTTTTGCCCCCCAAAGAATTTGTTTTTACTGTCCCAATTTTACAGAGCAGTACAATATAGAAGGATATATAACATGCATAAGGCTGTGAAATTGGTAAACACTAGAAATGATATTTATATTCAAGTATTTTTAACTTTTCCTTTTTTTAATTTTTAACATTTTAACTCTTAAGCCTGCGTTCTTAACTTCTGTATTCTGCAATAAAATGGAGTGAAGGAAAAGAAAAATATTGTTTCACAAGAAATTTCTTTAACACTGTCTATAGTACTGTTATAGCCTTTAAATATTGATTTGATGTATGTAGTAACTGAGCATCATTTATAGTGGTTACGGGGGAATCTGGTGTGTTAGGCTTGCTAACTGTGTTCAGTCACAGCTCTTAAGAAAAGTACCAGGCAACAAAACAAAACCGCAGAGGAGCAGACGTTTACACAACGGAGGTGTGGGGGGAGCCTAAGGTGTGGTTCCCATAGTGAACACTGTAGTCCACACTGAGCCCCGCTTGGCTCCGTGAGTAATTCGTGGTGCACTCGGGGGCTGAGGATGCGTGCTGTGGGAGCAGTGAGTGTGTGGATCAGAGCTCGGGGTTCAGCACTGGTGTTGGGGTGATTCCATTATATGACTGTTTCATAGATTACATAGGCTTTCATCTGGACAAACACACCTTAGTCTGTCCAATGGTTGTGGGTTATTGTTAAACTGGACACATACACACACACCTTGACCACATCTCAGTACAGCTTAAATGATTAATCCTGAAACAAAATATCTCTAATGGACCATTACTTTTATGGTGTGCATCTGGGTCTGTAAACGTCACTTTGTTTCCTCCCTTGTCCCAGTGGAAAAGCATCATTTGGGACTTAGTATTTACATTTGGAGTGCTGCTCATGGGCAGGTTCAAGATGCTGTTACCCTTTGAGCTGAATCACATGCTGTGCTCAGAGAGATAGATGACTAAGAGGATGTGTTAGAGCCCCTTCTACACAGTGTCATCATCCACCTTGGAGGAGCCTGGCTCTGGGCAGTGCACCTCTGCCAGGAGGGATGTGTGGAACAGGTGCCCAGTTCCTGGGGAGCCAGGGTGCATCATGGGTGTGCAGAGTGGATACCAGCAGGGCTCTCTGAGCGTTGTGTCTGCCCTCCATCCCTTCAGTAGTTTAATATGTTGCTTGTCACTGTGTCTTGAGCCCATGGCTCTTGCTTATCGTTCTGTCAATGGATGTCGCTGTTGATGACTCCATGAGTCTGTCAGATAGAGGAGTAAACATATAAGAATCTTTTTTTCCCATGATTGATTTTCTTTCCTAACACAGGGAGTTTAATAAGTTCACAGTACCATCGCTGATGTCAAATTTCTAAAGTATGAAAGGAAGGAAACCTAGGAAATTGACTGTACATACAAATTATACATGTTGACTTCTAGAAAAAGATTAAATAAATTTCACTTCATTGCTTTGTGACATCCCCAGAGATTCCTAGGGATGATTTTGCTTTAATTAGCAAAATATTTACAGAGTACTTAATAGGTGCCAGACACTAGGGATCTCAGGTAAAGTATGTGTGGGCCTCTTTACCAGGAGAATCTGAGTCTTTTCTAAATACGCTAATTTGGTTAGGGGAATGTTGTTGTCAGTTAAACATGTTTATCCTTATTCAAATACTCTCGAAAAGCCATTTTATCTAACACTTAAGTGTTAGTGAATTCCTTAAGAAAGAGTGGCTAAGGATATAAATTAAGGAATATTCTTGAGTGGAATCTCATTTATTTCTTTAAACAACCACATAGTTTCCACTAACCCAGCATCCACAGCACATTGGATGCATGTGTTGGAGGAAGTATGGATACAGAGGTGCAGGCTGATTACATTGCTTTTTGTGTTTTTCTTCATATTTGATCCTTGATAAATAAAGACAGAAGTGATTCTTTATGGCTGAGAGCTTACTGCCTTTACAGATAGCTAAATAGCCAGTTAGGCTGTGTGTAATTTTTCCAGGATAAAAGATTTTACCTTGAAGTTACACCCACCCCATCCTCATTTTCACCATCTAAGTAGGAATTGAGGAGCTGACACACCATGCCTTTGTCAGTTTTGCTAGTGACCATGGCTGTCATTAGTCTCAGCTGTTTTGTAAAAGTTTTAATTAGACTTCCATTACCAGCATCACATACATTTGTAGTAATACATACTTCTTAAAACACACATCTGAAGAAATTAAAATAGCAGGTGAAAGAAACTGGCATAAATTGAAGTTCAGTGTTTTCCTTCTCTAGTCATATCTTGCTTACCTCCGGGATGTAGTGAAGTTCAGTTTCTCACGTGTGCATAGTACCCCATCATTAAAAGTCATCCTCCCCGGAGAAAGGTGTAGTTCACATGGTTGTAACTCCCATTGGACGCGGTGTTAACTTCCTTTCTCACCACTAGAGAGACCTAACTGTGCTTTTGTCCTTGTGTCTCTCCTCTCTAGGAGGAGGATGGGTCAGCAGAAGACAGCAGCCGAGTGGAGCCAGTTGGCCACGCAGACACCGGCTTGGAGAGCGTAACCAGCTTTTCTCTGGAGTAAGTTACTCATGGTTTGATCTAGATTTGTACTATTCACGTAGCATCATTAACTGCAGCAAGTATTTTGAAAGCATATGGCATGAGGAATGTTTGTGCTTATTTAAAAAACGCACCTTGCATTGGGTTGATCTTGTAAAGCACAGTTTTCATATGTTGAGTTAACTCTGTAATAGAAGCAGCAGCACTGCATGGGTGTTCACAAGCCTATCCTGAGTTTCATGCTTTGGCAAATACTATTAACTTAGAATATCAAATATTATTTGATGGAAAACAGTCATGTTAATAGCACTGTAAACATAGTAACTGTTGTCAGATTGCTTTGTCTGTTGATATTTTGGTCATTTCTTTGTTCTACAACTTCGCTAAATTAAAGAAAATCACGAATATACATACTTACTTGAAAGACTAGTTGGATCATGGAAACATTGGGTATTATGGCATAAGTGCTTTTTTTGGTTGAAGAAACAATCTTTCAAGATATTTGATACAAAATTAGAGGTCCTATATCTATCTAGGACTTGGAACAAGTCCTAGATAGATATAAAATATAAAATCTTTTTCAATATTATCAATGCTCTCTAATTACCTAAATATTGTTATGTTTGAGTGGAAGATGGTCTCATGACCTGTTCCTTTGGTAATATAAAGCAGGGAGAGCAGGCCTTCCAATTCTTTCTTTTGGTTAAAGTTTGGAGTGTTGAATGAAGTATATTAACATTCGTATACTTCATTTTGTCTTCTTGATCTTCCAAGGGAGAGCTCTAAGTACATTTCTGGTGAGATTGAGCAAGCTCTGGAATCAGATTATATTTAGATATACCCTAAACAGCACTTGGAGTATTTCTATTTAAAAGAGACTTGCCATGCGATAATATTTTAGAATGTGGAAGAAAATAAATTTTTTTCAGTTACACCATTTTAGTTAAAAAAGATATTCAAACTGTATTAGCAGTGTCTAAAAGATGGTAATTTTTAGACATGGAGTTTTATAGCCTTTGGTTCCAGTGTTCATATAGCACTTAAGGAAACAGTGATGTTCCATTGTTGTAGAAGAGAGGGCAGTGAGGACCAAGACTCACCTATGAGGGTGAAAACTTTGACCTCTTTACTTTGATGTGCCTTATATTAGAGCCTTTCTAAATTACCAAGTGCTGTGTAACTGTAATACTGCTGTTCAGCTAGTCTTCAGGGTCCTTGAACTAGATACCAGAGCAATGCATGTGAAGTGGAGGTCTAGAGATTGGATGTGCAAATCTTGAGCTCACATTACACTTAGGAGTATGGGCCAAGAGAAATAGTCTTTATCATTTGTAACGCAGTTATTTCTGATGATTGCTCTCCTTCCATGCCATCAGACTAGCGTTCAGGTATGTAGCACTTGATGTTGCTTCACCACCATGCTTTTATTCCCCAGTGTGTATGTATATGCGTGTGTGCTTGGTGGGAATTTTGTTTTGTTCTCTTCTGTTGTGTTGTTGTGTGTCTGTGTCGTGGTGGTCTTTGTGCTGTTTGTTTCAGTTTTGGTTTGTTTACAGTACATGTTCATGCTCCTTCATTCATCATTGTCTCACAGTGATATGGTAAAGCTCGTACAAGTCTCCAACGATGGAGGGCCTCTGGGAATCCATGTAGTGCCTTTCAGTGCGCGAGGCGGCAGGTAACGTATCCTGGAGGTTTTTAATTGAATCGTAATGTGCAGTGTTTTATCTTCATTTATGCTCAGATGTAGAGTGGTGTTGACTTAGCATATGCTTAATGGACAACATGTTCACTTGGGGACAACTGCTACTTCATTCCTAC